GGCCAAGCCAAGCCAAACTGCCAAGGTTAATATCACTGCCATCCCAAAACAATGGCCAAGCCGAACACAAATACCAGGCCGAGTAAAACGGTCAGGTTTCACATAGCGGCCACTGCCAGCCCAGACAAAACCGTCAGGCAGGGCACACCGTCAGGAACCAGACCGAACGCAACGGCCAAGCCAAACCAAGTGACTCGGCCAAGTGAAACTGCCAACCATGGGCAGGCTGCCAGGCTGACTCGCACGGCCATGCCGATTACCGCGTCCAGGCCAAAGGGAACGGCCTGGCCGAAGAAGAGGGCTAGGCCGAATGCAACATAACACAACCAGGCGAAACGGGCCAACATTCAGAAACCGACCAGACTTAGGAACAAACGGCGAGACTGAACAACACGGACAGCGCAAGAACACCCGCACCATAGAGTTTTCGTTACCTTGCTCGACCGACACCGCTTGCACCACTTATATTGCACTCCGTAGCTCAATCAGTATATATTGCCCAAATCATGTTGCATAATTTGTGCCACATAGTTTGCACCGCATAACTGGCATCATGTAACATTCGCCACATGGTTTCCGCGACATAGCTTACACAGCCTAGTTCACACCAAGTAGCTTGCACCACGCAAGTTGCACCACATGGCCGACGCCGCATAGATTGCACCGCCGCCCCAGCGGCGGTGCGCAAGGAACACGCACCCCCCTGGCCTTGGATGCCCATACAGAGCCCCCGAAACGCCCGCGGGCAGGAGGGAGGCATAACGGACTGTTAGGGGCCCGCGTTGGCAAACTGTACCTTAATGAAATAAAACCCTTGTGGGGATATCAGCAAGACGGTTTGGGACACCATGCAAATCCTTGAAGAGCTCGGTTGAACAAGCGTCGGCGCACTTGAACGCCTCTCGGAAGGACGCCTCCGATGCATACCCAAAAATGCGGCAATCGATCTCGAATTCTGGGCATCATTCGTTCGGTACCGTTGTCTGTCGTAAAGGATACAATGCGGTCGCACACCCGACGCAAATCTTGAAACGAAGGCCCTGCTATGAGAAATAATGCCCACAAGAATGCGTATACTTTGCCACACGCTTTCATCATTGTTTTAGGAAGCGTCACACAAGGCAAAAGCATGCGCTTCCTCCACGTACCAGAAACGACGTCCATCGACACTGCGAAAAGTTCCGTGCCACGGTACTGAGGCGAACCGTCCGCGAACACAAATAAGTAGGTTTTTGACCAATCGAATGTGGACAGCAACTTCCTATATACAATACAGGCTGTCATGTCCAAGCGAACCCTGGCACGACGTACGACTTCAACATTAATGTGAAAACCGTGCAACAACTCTGCGCTGGCCTCTTCGCTACCCGTGAGCAGCTTCGCCCACGCCGCCGCAGGCCCATCCATGTTTTGCATTGTGTCCCTCAAATACGAAGTCGCGTCAAGTTGGTCAATCACTTTTGTTACTGGTAACTGCCCTATCCGCATTTTTCTTTTTTTGGCTTGAACCCCCACGCCGCCGTCCCTGACATTTGGCACTGGGGCTGCACTACCGACCCAACGTCTGACCAGCTTTGTGCTCGGAGCACAACACCGCGGAAGTGGTCGTCGGTTGCACCTCCGAGTAACGGCAATGGCGAAATAATGTTTCCATGATCCTGAAACCACAGCCAACGCCAAGGTTGGAATCAATGTAAAGTGTGCCAGCTTTGAAATACGAGTAGCATCGATCCATGCCTGAAGGGTTTGTCCATCCTGTAACAATTCCCCCGTGCACGCATCCAGTATTGATGAAGGTGAAGAGCGGGCACCTGGATCAAGAAGGCGCGGATCCTGCAGGGAGGCGCATGCGGTTGCTTCGTACAGCACGTGCCCAAAAATCTGCGTGCCACTCCGCAGCAAAGCCGTCGCCGACGAGGAGATCCACGCAGCACTTGCGACAGCAGTAGCCTCGGCAGCGTCTCGCAAATACCACGAACCTTGCACTGCGCCAACCAAGCGAACTTCGCCATCAGCGAAACCTGCTGCACGATCGGTCGGGCTTGGACCTCCCTGCAATGCGCTACTTCTGGACAGCGCTGGCCAACCGCAATTGGCAGCCAGAATCAAAAATACACATGCAGGCCCTCGCGCGCACGCCGCTGCTGGACGACGAGCTCGAGGAGAGGCTGGCGCAGAATCGGGATCACCGTCCACGCCGCTGACGGATCCAGAAGCGACGTCCCCGAGAATCTCATCATCCTCCATAGGGTGGGAAGCTACATTAAAGAATAAACTTCGTGATGTAACCTTCGAGCCCAAATGGCCACGTTGGTAGCGGAGCAAAACGATGCAGAATTGCAACTCTATGGTGTGAAAAGTTGTGTCCAACAACTCAACGACAGAAGGCGGAATGGGATATAGCTCCGAACGGAAGCGGCAAACGGGGGCACTGCATTTGAGTTCTCGTTTGTCCCCTCCCCCAATCGACACGATCGAGAGCACTGCTATCGACGGAAACGAATCGGCATCAACTGACCTAGTTCTTGCCCTAGGAACCATCGACCACCCCTATATCATGCGTCGTCGTCGTGTTCCTTCTGCTGCTGCGCCTCCTCCTCCTCCCTATGATATTCCACATAAATTCCAAATTTCCCGCGGCCATTTTGGCTCAATCCAAAAAGTTAACCCCGACAACCATTCCCGCGGCCATTTTGGCTCAATCCATTTTGGTTCAATTCAATTCAAAAAGTTGCCCGCGGTCATTTTGGCTCAATCCATTTTGGTTCAATCGCTGGATCGCGCGGGGCAACGCTATCCGCGACGCGCGCGAACGACCCTCATATATTTGGCAAGCGGGCGCACCTATAATATAATTGGCATGAGTCCGAGTGCGCCCCAGAAGCGCGTTTTTGCACTCGGCGCCGTGGAAGTGTTTAAGGCCTGCTGGTCACGGCAGGGAGGAGTTGAGGGGTGTTTCCAGCCCAGGAGGGCTGTTTATACGCAATCCAATGGCAATCCACTCGCCTCTGTCCCCACCGTCCCCACCACTGTCCCACTGTCCCCCCCACTGTCCCACTGTCCCCACACCACTGACTGTCCCCACACCACTGTCCCCACCCACCACCACCGTCCCCACCACTGTCCCAGCGCCCCCACCACTCTCCCATTGTCCCGAGGAGCAGGAATCGTTTGCCGGCGGCGAGGGGGTGGGGGAAGAGGAGGGGTTCGAACCGGCAGTGACCCCGCCCCCTTTTTATGATGGACTGGCGGGGGGGGGGAGGGAGGGGTTCAAACCGGCAGTGACCCGCCCCCGGGTTTTCGAAGGGGGGAGGGGGGACGGGTTGAGAACGAACCCCCAGTGACCCCCCTGGTTTTCCGCCAGCAGCGGTAGAACACGCTCTTTCCCACCACCGTGCCCTGAGGCACGAGTTTGAGTGTCCACAGGTCACTTTCAATTCTTCGTCCTCACTCCTAAGCGACTGAACATAATCCCAAACCCCAAATTGCCGGATTTCCCAGAGCACGTCGCGTGCCCGGGGAGTGTTGTCCCATGACGTGTTCGAAACCAAGAGAGGCCAAGACGGGCCAGGAGGCCCCCGAGAGGCCTTCAAAATGGTCCAGGACGCATAAACCGAGAGCCGTGGCATCCTTATAAACATAAACCGAGCTCCACCGCGGTAAGAGGCCACACAGCCCAGGGCTGCGAAACCGCCAGACAATGACAACGAGCGTCAGGCAGTTGAAGGGAATAAGTACGATAAGCCAGGTGCGCTCGTCCAACATGGTCGGGCCCCAAATGGACGCTGCCCTGGGCTAAGCGCGAAGTCCGCTTCACTGAGATACGCCTGGATGTGGGCCTCTCGCTTGAGCTTGAGCCAAAATGGCTACGGACACCGACACACACACACGCACATTCCCTCCAGGCAAGGCCCCAGCCTCTGAGAGACAATGAGCCCCGGGGAGGAGGGAGGAGGGAGGAGGGAGGAGGGAGGAGGGAGGAGGGAGGAGGGAGATCAGAACACGCAGGGCCCCCTCGGCCCATGCGGTGCCCCGGGCTCGAAAAGCCATCCTCTCCCCGCTCCACCGCCGCCTCCTCGGAGAGGCACGCTCGCAGGCTCCAGGGGCCCCCGACCCCGAACATCCAACACCGCAGCCTCAGAAACCGCCGCAGGGCGCCGCGCGGATCGGATCAAGACGGGCGAAGGGGTGGCCATCTCGACTCGCCCTCCCCGGGGCCGAACTCCGAAGGAGCTCCGCAGACCTGGAGAGGGCCAGGGTCGCACTCCCTGCCAGGTCCCTAAGTGACGTGCCGCTCGGTGGCAGCCCTGGATGGGGCCGGGCACCCGCGACGCACGGAGTGCCCCGACTGCAGCCTCCAGAATTCGTGCTCCTGGAACACAGGCAGGGAGGGGCAACGATAGGGGGGGGGGGAACGGCATTAAGAGAGGAAAACATCGACCCGGAATCGGCGATACATGGCCGCTAGATCGGCAATAGGTCTACGATAGTGAGTCCGCACTTTCCTGGGCAGGTTGGGGCTATCGGGTCCCTGTCGGCGATCAATGGGCGATTGGGGGTCGATGCATCCCCCCCATGCCTATCCCCCCCTATCGTTGCCCCTGAGACAGCCTATCAGGGAGAGCCGAACGAACGGGAAGGCCACCCTTGTACTCCTGAGCTCGCGCCGCCAGCTTCTCCTCCTGCGCTTCTCGCGTCGCGGCGAGCGGTGCCGTCGTTCCAACAAACAACCAAAAATGGCACGGGCTCTCCATGTCTTGAGCCTGCGGAGGCCAGGGCGTCAGCAGCTTTACGGGCATGGGCCCCAATCCGACGGAAAAAGTCTGCTCATGCGTTCGTTGCCCACGTACCACTCAAGGGGGCTTGTCAGGGTGCCCCTCAGGAAGAAACTCGAGCAAGTCCAGGTGAGCTGGGGCCTGGACCGAGTCCCAAACGACCCACCCGTGAGTGCATTGGAGCCGAGCATCGGCCGCCCGGCACGGCAAGCCCGGGCGCGCGGCTGTCGTGGAGGTCGCGCAGCCGCATGTCCGTGTGCCCCTCCATGATCGAGACGCTCTTGCGGCCTGAGGCGGGCTCGGCCCGAGAGCGCCGAGAGTCAGACTTCCAACGCACTGAAAAAAACAAGACGGAAATTGCTTGCACGCCTCCCCACGTGCAGCGCGTCGGTCTTCGGGCCCTTCCCTTGGGTCCAGGAGGCCTTCCGGCGTCGGAGAGAGCGCGTTTCACGGACGCTTGCATTGGGAACCTTCGGCGGCGCGTTTCGAAACGGGGGGTGCCCCCCCCCCCCCCCCCAACACTCGGCGCCGTCGATCAGAACCAGGGGGACTCCCCTCCCCCTGAAGCGAAGTTTTAGGTCTGATTGGATTAGAATGGTAGTATATGTTCTTATCAGTGTATACTTTGCCTAGCTTTGCTCAGCAGTAGAGCAGTCAGAGACGTGTGTGAAGAGCCTCTCGTATGCACATCGGGGCCGAAGCTCTTTGAAAACAGAGCGATATCCGCTCTGGTAGCGGAGCCGCCCACGGGCGGCGCGCGCGGCCCCGCCCCGCCAGGCCAGCTCGCCAGCCGCGAGAGCATCGCGGACCCGATCATCAGGCAGGTGACCAGCGCTACCCAAGGAGGTGCGCAGCATTCACGGCGACCCCGAGAATTTCAACATCGCTACGCAAATTAGCAGTATCTACGACAACCTCTTCAGCGCTCACGGCCCTGTCGAGGCTTCATCACACCAGATTCAATCACACTCGGTAAAGTATACGGACATCCAGATTCACACACTCGGCAAAATATGCGGACATTCTGATTCACACAATCGGCAAAGTATACGGACATCCAGATCTCTACACCAGGCAAAGTTCCCGGACATCCAGATCTCGAAAGAATAACGGACTACCTCACGGACACTCGAGATGGACTACTCCAGATCACAGTCGTTGCCACTTGAAGAGAGTACGCGACAGACACCTCCTGGCTGGAAGCCAGGTGTTGCCAAGTAATGTGTCAAGAAATGTCTTCAAAAGTCACCACTATGGTGGAGAACAAAGAATGTTGAGGATGATAGCGTGGCAGCACTGATGGTACTGCAACTCCTCAAAGGAGGCGCCTACAAGCAAGCATTGAGATTCAAGGTCGAACGAAATGGACGAGAATATGTTGGTGAGAACGCCTTCGCACTAGAACGAACGGAAGCTGATGAAGTTTCCCGGAACACTAGCACAGCCATCAGGACTGTCACTCTTCACTCGCTGGCTGGAAGGAGAATACGGACTGCACGATCCAGACACAGTCGGAGTTGCGCTGGACAAATTCTTCAGCTTCAAGGGAGGACCTCGTGATTTAGGACAATAGAATTCAAATTTCGAACCAGTGTACGATGAAGCAGCAGATCAAGCAGGACTGAACATCAACGCCGTCGGCAGGAGCTATCTATTACTTCAAGGATGTGATGTATCGGCCAAGCGGGTCGATGACATCAAACTCAAGACCGACGGTGACCTCCGACATTACAATGATATCAAAGCAATCATGGCTCGTCTCGCCAAGCAGTCAGTGGCCCAGAACCATACAGATCAGTATAAAGGCTACTGGGTTGACTCAGATGATGAAGAATTCTGGGACTACTACGGATATTATGATGATTATGGACAATGGTATGGACAATGGCAATATTATGGGGATGACGACGACTGGCGGGACGAGGATCAAGCATGTAATGAGTTACGCACCACCGGCGACAGAAGACGACGGAGCTGATAAAGGTACCCGCAAGAAGGACAACCCAGGCAATTGCAGCAAATGCGAATCCAGATGGCGCAAGAGCAAGGATTGCCCGGCCGGCTCCAAGGATAAAGACTACCAGAAGAAGAAGAAGAACGACGGCAAAGGCAAGAGCGAATCGAAAGGCAAGACCAAGTCGGACTCGAACGGAGGCAAAGGACGAGGAAAAGGTAAAGGATATAGATTTAGAAGCAAAGGATTAGGAAAAGGCAAGGGATATCATGGTCGAGGCAAGGGCAAGAAGAGCAAGGGCCACTACGGCGATGATTACGACGACGACTACTACTATGACGATTGGAACAGTTCCCATGGCAGTTGGTTTGCCAACAAGAAACAAGAACGTGAAGGAATCTCTTTGGACCCTGACACTGAAGACCCATATGCACATGGACAATCAGAATACCTCATCATGGTCTTCATTACAGACGGTACCCTCTTCCAGCCGGATGAACACGAGTCACCAGGTGTCGGACAGCGAGATCTTCACGGATTCCCAGATGCAGCAGTGAACCCAAAGGCAATGCCGACATCATCACCACAGGCAGCCGGATCCTCCACCCCGAGACGACCCATTCGACATACGTTTGAGGAGTCCGGATCAGACTTGGGATCACCAACAACTGAGGACTTTCAGAATGACGACGCGGAACTTCCCAAACGGCTACCCAAAGGCATCGTTCCTGGTGAACTGGATTTCTTAATGCGAGAAATGCAGAACTTGTGTTATGATCAGCACTCGGCGACGGACAGTCACCACATCGAGCAGATCAATACCAGTTACCACCGTATTCAATGAACGAAGCGATTTGGACTATTGCACGATCCTGGAGCATCATCAGGCATCATCGGCACTGACACAGTCCGAGAATATCAACAGGAAGTGCTTGGTGGTGCAGATATTGAATCCAGACCGACACGGGCGCAATTCACAGGTATTGACGGCAAGCCGACTCCTGGCAGGCACAGCAGTCGGACCACTGCGGATTCCAGCTACGAAAGGCGCAACGTTCACTGGAGACATGATTGGCGGTATTGGAAGTTGGTGTCCAGCACTTTTTACCATTGCCGACCTCAATACGATATCGAGCAATTATTTTTTGCCGCGGTCTTTGACAATGGCGATGGTGTATGAATCGCATTTCCAGAGAATCGGCGACTAGGCAACAAGGCCCCACCAGTTTATGTCAGGCTATTGCTCACAGACTCCAAGCACTATATCGTTCCGACGGACAACCAGCACATTCGTGAGGAAGTTGATCAACAATACCTCCATGGAATTATCAAGGATCATCTGCAAATATTCTGGCATTTCAAACCGACTCGAGATGGCAACGCCCCGGCAGAGTTTAACATGACGGAAACACCCGTGGACACTAGCACCGGAGCGAAGTCAACTTGCTTCACTGGACAGAACACCGAGACGAACGAGACGGACATCATGACACAGTTAAAGGATCTCAGCCAGAGTATCAAGGATACTCGGGAACATATTAAGCCATCACCATCAACGACTGGAACGCATCATGTCGTGAACATGAAGACGGCATTCCCTGGACATCAATGCAGTAACGATAAGTGCGACCAAGACCATCAATACCCGACGAGAAGATCAACAATTACCAAGGCACAACACTTCTGGATCTGGAGCACCTTCAAAGGCAAGGGTTACACTGGAGATCTTATACCTGACGGGCTTGACCATCGACAAGAGGAGCGTTTCAAGAAAAATCACTACGGGATTCCAGGGAAATTCTATTGCAAGACTAAGTTAACTGCGATCACTCCACAGAAGTCAGACAGTTTCCGGAAGCACCTCCTGGACAACAAGATCACGAGCGTGGACATGCAGGAGCATTTCTCAGGCAGCAGTACGCTCTATTTCTGGGCTCATCGGAGTGAATTCACAACGCTCTTCCCGACGGACACCCGATATGGTTGGAATCTTGGCCTGAAGGAACATCAGGACATCATTAAGAAATTGCAACGAACTATTTGAGTTCAAATCAAGATATATACTCCAGAATGTATACCGTGGTCGCAGGCAAGTCAGACGGCAGACCCAGAAGTGAAGGCAGCCAACAGGAAAGCCGATAAGTCAGCTCTCCAATAGGTTGCCGACGAATGCAAGGCTACTAACCAGGACGGCACGGACTACATCATGGAGAACCCAGCCAAAAGTGCTATCTGGGAGGAGTCACCACTGAAGGAACTTCAGTCAGATGAGCGGGTGTACAAAAAAACATTTGCGATCAATGCCAGCACGGCGCTCAAGATGCAGACGGAACACCCACTCAAAAATGGACCAAGGTCATGGCCTCATTTCGAACGAGACGGACGGCAGTTCTATGTCAATGCATACGACCACACGCGTGGCTTGTTGGAGGAAGCCAGACGTCCAAAGCCAAGATCTTCACGGAGAAGCTTTGCAAGAGTATTCTGAAGGACGTCAGCGAAAGGATCGAGATGACCCTGAGGGCACCATTGGACTTGTTGTTCTGGACATGCGAGAGGTGTAGACATGGCAACAAGGCAGGCACGCCTCACACTCGAGTGAAGGGCTGCAGATTCGACCCTGACCGAGAGCCACCCATGGCAGCCGGACCACCTCCCGCGGCGGCACGAGCTCCAGTACCAGTACCAGCTCCTCCTCAAGTACCACAACCAGTTCCACCTCCTGCGCCAGCACCGGCACCAGCACCAGAGCCAGCATCGGCCCCAGAACAGCCTGCACCAGAACCTCCACCTGGACCTGCTCCACATGAAACGGACACGACCAATCAGGGCGATACCGCGGACCAGCCAAGCATCGTCACGGAATCACCGAAGAAAGCGACAGCCATCAAGCCCAAGTTCGACCTGCAGCGCTTCAAGCATCAACTCGAAGAGGCGGCTTCAGAGCAAGCTAGGTTGGCCCTACTGTTGGAATTTCATCTGAAGTTCTGGCGCGCCACTCCTGACGAGACGGCGAGACTACTGGCTGCGCTCGGAGTGGAGGCAAGCATCATCAAGCTCTGTCCGCAAGTGGTCAAGGAATTGTGTGACGCGTGCCGCCGTACGCGATGCCTTTTCACCGACCAGCGTTCAGGGCACATATCACTACAAAGTTCAACGAGCGAGTTCAAGGCGATCTCTTCTTTCTCTGGGACATGGCATGGCTTATTCTTGTGGACGAACATATCAGGTGCAAGGTCATCGGCGTCATGAAGGATAAAACAGCCCCAGAGTACTTGCGCTGCATGGTAGAATGTTGGATCAGATTTGTCGGATCCATGGGGACGTTTGTGTCAGATCAAGAAGGATCGCTCACATCAGATCTCGTTGGAACCACAATGGATAGATTCACGATTGAGCGAGGGTTCGCAGGTACGGACCCGAACAAGGAGAATAAGACGACAACCGGACTGGTGGAATCACACATCCGCATGACCAAATCGACTGCATTGAAGAACGCAGTGGTAGCTGAGAAGGAAGGGCTTCAGATTTCCAAGGAGACTCTGGTATACGAGGCCGCCACGTCTCAGAACCTCATGCTGAACTTCAGCGGCAGCACTCCAGCCAATGCCCTGCTCGGTTACACGCCAAGAGACTGCTACGACGTAAACTCAGCGACAACGACGGCACATAAAGGCGCTCTTGAGATTTCTCCAGACACTATCGAATCTAACGTGAGGATGATAATCCCATCTAAGCAAAAACGTTCTCAGGACGATTGTCGAGGAACGCATGGCCATCGCCAACAAATCACGCCCACAGAAACTCGACACCGAGAAAATTAAAGTGGGTGACCTGGTCGACTTGTATCGGACGCCGAACAA